TGTAGCCCGTACTGTTGTTTTAGAAAACACTGCGATAGTAATAGAACGTTGTTGTACGCTATGTACGTGTTTAAAGTACCTTAAAGACAACACATTTAAGTTAATATATTGCGATTTCTGTATATGGACGTTTCACTTAAAAAGAGATTAAGAAAAGTAATTATTTACATTTATATTTAGGGGGAATTATTCATTAGGCTATTTGAATAATCTTCTGATATCATTAGAAAAATGACTATCAAAACTTAAATTTGCTTCCCTGTCACCCAAGGCATAATACAATATTATTAGGAATAATAATATTCTTATAAATTTATTTAAAAAATAATGAAATAAAGAAAATAAAACGAAAACGAAAACAAAGCAACAAAGTTAAAGCTAATAACATTATTTGCTGAACTACACAGTTTGGCACACTAATTGAAATAAAAAAGGACTTTAAAAAAAAAAACAACTATTAGCCTATTTGATTTAAATTAAATTACATTTTCCAAATAATGAATTATTTTACATAAAAATCTACAAATAAGTACTAATAAATAAATACAAATTATGAATATAATTTCTAAGCGTTTTATTTAAAAATGACAAAAATTACTATGATAATGAAAATATTATTTTATCTTGGGACAGGGTAGCATATTTAAAATTGTTCGGTGGACTGATCGCACATTATTGAACAGTAAACTGTAAAACATAGGAAGGTTAAAGAGCCCATCGATCCCTTGAGACCTTTGAGATAACAATCTGCTGCCCATTAGAAATGAATCCGTAACTGGAACAGCTCATTAATGCTCGCCCCCTCCTCGTGAACGTCAACACTGATTGGGCACAACTGCGGCACTGAGAGTGACCTCACACAGAAACTGAAGGTGACCCAAAGGATAAAACGCGCGCGGGGCGCATCACGACGACAGTCTCCAGCCCGCATCTTCTCCTCAGTAGTTTCATCTGGACTTTGGGTGAAGATGCCACGAGGATTTTTAGTGAAACGGAGTAAACGTGCCTCATCTGCATCCTACAAGGTGCGAGCGCAAGAAGAAAAAGAGCCGCGCAAAGAGGACCTGCCATTCCAAACTCCAAATGCAAGTGTGCCGGATGTGCTGGAACCTATTACAGAATCATGGACAAGTGATGTAAGCTCTAAACATCTTCTGGAGAACTCTGGAGGGGTTGTTGGAGAGAGCGTCGATTACGCACAGAGCTACTTCAGCCACCCGGAGCAGAGCGCGTCATCTCCGCGCAACAGCACCGACTCCTACAGCCCGATCAAACCCATCAGCACGGAGCTTTTGGACAGGCGTCTCAGCTCACCAGCCATGGCCGAGTCGTTCCCCTTGGTTACCCCGGTGTCTTCAATCGAGCGTCTGCTAATGAACCACTCTGACATGAAGTTTGGCACACCGATGCCCACCTACCCTGCCTTTCACCAGTGCGTAAAACGCGCGTTCATGGACTCAGAGCGCAAAAGCAAACCACCCAAAAAGCCTAAAGTCATCAGAAAGCTCAATTTTGAAGATGAAGTCACCACCTCACCGGTCCTCGGGCTTAAAATAAAAAAAGAATGTCCCGAGTCAAAACTAGCACCACAAAGTGGTAGAAAAAAACCGCTCGGTGAGTTCATCTGCCAGCTTTGTAAGGAAGAATACCTTGATCCGTTTTCTCTAGCCCAGCACAAGTGCTCCAGGATCGTCCGGGTTGAGTACCGCTGTCCAGAGTGCGACAAAGTTTTCAGCTGTCCTGCCAACCTCGCGTCCCATCGCAGATGGCACAAACCTCGCAACCTTAGCACCGGAGACGCGAAGAAGCCTCCGCTGGAGGCGCGCGACCACGAGAAGACCTCAGTGGAGGGGAAGGAGAACGCCAGCAAGCTGAGACTGAACAATCAGCACCAGCTGAGTCTGGACAGCTCCCAACAGCACAGATCAGCACCGGACAGCAACATGATGGACAGGGGATCCCAAGACCCTCCTCTGGACCAAAGGTTCCCGTCCTCGGAGAAATGCTTTGAGATGCGTATCGGCTCCGCGGACAGCTCGAGGTTGTTCGATCACTGCCCCGAGGAGCCCGACAGGTCCAGCACCCCCTACCTGCCCTCGTCTGTTCCGGAAGAAGTGTTTGAGTGCCACTACTGCAGCAAGAAGTTCCGCAGGCAAGCCTACCTGAGGAAACACCTGGCCGCGCACGAGACGATCAGAGCATCCTCATACGCTCACATTGAAAGCGGACAGATTACTTTCCCGTGTCACCTGTGCGGAGCGCACTTCCCCTCCGCGGAGATCAGGGACAAACACCGACTCTGGCACGCGGTCAGAGATGACTTACTCCTCAGACCTGATCTGAGTCCAGGAGAACAGCAGATATTCTCATGCAAACACTGTCCCTCCACGTTCTTCAGTTCTCCGGGTTTGACCAGACACATCAACAAGACTCATCCCACAGAGAACAGACAGGTGATGCTCTTACAGATGGCCGTCAGGCCGGGATGCTGATCTCACAAACACTTCAGATTGTGTCTAACGGCTTGTTGTTGATATTATCATTAATAATAGGTCCGGTGTCTTTATGTGGGAATATCGAACTTGCAGGTTTTCTTTGTCGACAGCAGAAATAGTTTATGTAACCTTTGATAATCTTGGGTATCACTTTATAACTACTTCCATTAGGACAGCAAGTTATTAACAGACATTATATACAGGGTTCCTTCACTTTTGAGCATGAAATTCCCAGTTGATACTCTATATATATGTATATATGTATGTATGTGTGTGTGTGTGTGTATATACACACATACACACACACACATAAAGTCAATTAAATCAAGAGATGAGAACTATATTAGCTATAGAAATAGTTCTCTTTTACTATAGAAATTTCTCACAGCTTTTATTATTTTAAAGATTAATTACAAAAAAATCAAGGATTTTTTTCATCAAGTAAATGTATCAGAACTGAGAATAACAAGAAATCTACATGTTCAATATTGAACTTTTTATGCCTTTATTTTAAATGTAATAAAACAAGAAATCAATGTTTTTTTTTCTTGTCAATTAAATGTATCCGAACTGAGAAAACCAAGAAATATATGTGTTAAATATTGAAACTTCTATAGCTTTTTTACATTTTAAAAGTAATTTTAATAATTTCTTAATGTTTGTAACTTTTCTGGGCATGGAAATCTCAATTCTTTGACATTTCCAGATATTTCCATGACTATGTGAACCCTGTCTATAATGTTTTGCTCATATGCATTCAAATTTCATTATTATAACCACGTTCAGGTTTGCTTCACATCTATATAAATTATTACTGAAGAAAAAAACTGTTACTCATTAAAGGTACTTAATGTTGCCGGTTTAATTTAATTCATGTTAATAGTGGGAAAACACCAAATCTATCAGGCTTGAGACTCAAGGCTCACAGCAGGGTTTTCATTAATATGTCTTTATAACATGGGAAAAGTGAATTATTATATTTTGTGTCTCATTGTAAAAGTAGCTCCCATGGAAAGCTTATGTAGTCTCGATAGTCTTAGAAGGTGCTTTGATTTCTAGATCATGAAGGTACTGTGCATTTCATTATACTTTAATTGACAATAGCTGCAAAAAAAATGTATTTATATCATAACTGCCAGGAAATGCCATAGCATACATCAAGACTATTAGAGGCCTACATGTAATAAACCACAAGTGTCATTTATATTTTCATATGTAGTCATTTTCAGCTGTTACGGGGGAAATGAAGAGGTCAATAAATCAAACTGTCTTCAAATATCCTTTTAAATGTAGCATATGTGTTATTTTCACAAATCCACCGGAGCTGCTGCTTAAAACTGGAAAATAGAAACCAGTACATTTAAAAAATGATCACAACTGGTAAACTATTTGATGCACCCAGTAACTGCACAGGACTTGCTATGTTGTAAGAATACTTTTATTCTCAAGTGTAGTTGCACATCCACTCTCCTTCGACATCCGATACAAATGTATAGAGATACTAGCATATGACAATATCGTGGATCTGTGTGTGTGCTTGTGTGTTGTGCAGCTGTTATATCAACACATGCAGTTAGTACTGGAATCATGCAGCATTTGGTCAGTAGTAACATACACAAAATCTATCCATGAGGATGTTTTTTCCCCTCTTGAATTTATGCACAGGTCTCAGTTGCTTGTGTGCAGGCCTTTAATATACACGTTATCATTTCAATCCAGAAGTGTGCTGCATGATTTCATCTCCACAAATATTTTTTTGTTTCTGATAAATTTCTAAATGATTTCAAATTAAAAAGAAAAATAATAAAATCTGACCCTCGTGAAGTCTCACATAGCTTTTAAGAAAATATACAAACTGGATTTTATCTTAAACATGGCAACAGTTATAACTTGCATCCGTAGTCCTCAGGGCCAGATACCCTTATATCCCTTAAACGTTCAAAATTAAACGGAAAAGTGCAGACCAAAGCTAGTGTCAATGATGTTTTTGTACACTTCCACATCTACACATTTAGAAAAAAAGGCTGTTCAAATGTCTCAAAACACGCCGTCCACTGCAGAACTAGCTCGAAAAGTCCTCAAGCGGGTAATTCGGTTCAATTTGGCAACGTCGCCGTCGCCCTCTTAATGTGGCAACTCATTCACACTTTACTTAAAAATCCCATCTAAAATGAGATGAATCAAAAAGAGCGTTGCAGTCAAATGATTTATGCTGATAAACCTGCATGGGCTCGTCTCTAAGGCTGCTGTGCAACGAAACAAAACGAAGTGACAGAGTCCAGCAAAAATCTAGCCATACAGACAGACATTCAAGCTGAAGACTTGTTTTTTGACTTCTAAGTGGCCTTTTGACTTTTTTTTTTGGTTGATTTAAATACTGTTAAATATGTACACAGATCAGATACTGTTCATACACTATACACATACATTAAATATGTATATATTTTATATTTATAGATATATACACGCAGAAATAACCATTACAAATGACAAAAGAGCAGTTCAGTATAACATTAACATGAAAAAAAAAAATCTGTAACATTCTAATGAAGAGAAAACTGAATTATACAAATTGCAATAAACCGTGATCTATAAAGAAAACCAGCAAATAAACGAACAAATGTGAGTGTCAATGTTATATAAAAACATGTTCCACAATAGGAGTGAAAACCAACTGAAATACGTAACAGCAAGAAGTGCTTCAGTTTAAACGCAAATCTGCTCCACAAACATGTTTTCGAACACTTTTTCCGCCATCAATTTGTCGCGTCTTCTGTACAAATATAAAAAGTTGTGGTTGATACGATGGCAATCAAAAAGAAACATTTTCATATGTTTTTTTTTTAATGATCACTGGCACTCTGAGTAGTGGGGCAGCTTCAGTGGCACCAGCCACGACAGCAGCAGAGGACGTTATTTAAGTCAAACGCAACGCGATATCCATCAGCGATCGACAAAAATAACATTTCAGTCATCTTTGATCACTCTGGCTCTGAATGGAAGGAGTCAGACAGCATTGGGGGCGTGGCTACTGCAGGCAAGAGGGCGTGGTTGGTCTCTGACAGTGCAATGGGCGGAGTTCCAGAGTGAAGTGTGTGTGTTTGCTCACTCAGGTCAAGTCTTGTTGGCGGAGCCCGAGGAACGGCGAAGCTTCATGGACATCCGGCTCTTGCTAGCACGAGGTGACATTGGCGAGGCTAAGTCGCTCCCGTCTACTTGTATTGCTGGACTTTCGGCCAGCTGACTCTCGAGGCATGAGCCTGTCGGGGAGGGATGGGGTGGAGGAAGAAGAAAAGACAGAGATCAGAACTTCACGACGCAAGATCGTTCAGACGCTAAACTCATCTACTGTATCTCGAATGTGACATCTCATCTCATTTAGCTTGGGTTTGTGAATTGGAATATAAAATACATTTTGGGTTGAAATGGGGGAAATAAATGTCTATATTAAAGACTTTTTTTGTGATCATTGTGAATTTCACTCAGATTGGAACGGGAAAAACCTCTCGGTTAGACTAATTTGGGCAAATGGTAAATAAAGGCCAGAAGTAACCAATAGAGAGCAAAGAAAGTGTGAAAACCCCTTCCTGAGGGGAGTGAGAGGTTAATGCACCAGTGCATTGTGGGTGAAGTTCACAGAGCGAATCACAGGGGATGCTGGGACTAATCAACGCTGAGTTCTGACACCTCGTCCCTGGATGAGACCAACAGGGGTGCAGTTACAATATCGCAACACAAACTACATAGTGAAAGAGTAATGGGGAGGAAAAAAACAGAGAAGGTACTTTGCCGTTTTCAGTTTCAGCATACCATTCACAGCTAGCGTGAAAGACCTTCCGTTTCAAGCCTTTTCTCTTTACCTTGATGAGCCCAATGTTTTCTAGTTGAGGTTTGGGAAGGTGCAGAAAAATCACAGCATTTCTCTCTTGGGGTGCGAGAATGGACAGAAGTGGCAGATAGGAAAGGACGACAAGAGAGAGGGGCAGAAAAGACGCAAAGTGATGTGGAATGTAAGAGAAAGTAGAGAAAGAATACAAAACAGACAGGAGGAAGAAAAAGAGAAGAGATACAAGACAAAGGTGTGAGCAGACTGAGAGGGAAAAACAGTAGCAGGTGCACATAAAATACAAGACAACAAATGCAAGAGCTGATCTCTCCACACGCTCATGAAGGTTTATTATTCATACACACACTCGCTCATCCACTCGACTTACACACACACAATGCAAAAAGATGTCAGGATTACCACCCACTAGTAGCTAAAGTCTAAAAACGAATGCTGTGACACCAACCTCAACAAAACGATACGACCATAGATGGTGGTTTTGAATAATACAAGGAAATCATCTGCAAAAGTTGCACCTGAATGCCTTCTGTAACGCAATCATGCTCAGCAGTAGGGTTCCGGAAGTAAAATGCCATTCACATGATGCAACATTATTTATAGAAATATCCCAAAAAAGACCTACACATGAGCTCTGTTGAAAAAGAGATCACGTACACTACCATTTTTAATGCTTTGTTTGATCAAAATTACAATCAAACAGTAATATTGTGAAATATTACAATTAAAATAACTGTTCTCTGTTTGAATAGATTTTAATCGTATTAAATTACATTTATACTGTGATGCAAAGATTTTTAACATCATTACTCCAGTCGTAAGGGTCAAGAAATATTTCTTATGATTGTGATTTATTGAAAACCGTTGTGCTGCTTAAGGCGTTTATGGAAACCATTATATAATTTCTTCAGTATTCTTTGCTGAATAGAAAGTAAAAAAAAAAAAAACAGCATTTATTTGAAACCGAAAACTCTTGTAATATTATAAATGCCTTAACTGTGACATTTAATCAATTTTAGCACTTAAACAATGTGTCCTTTATGAATAAAATTATACAGACATGTTGTAAAGGCAATCATTCAAACTGGATGTTCGCATTACAGCACAGCGGTAGTAGTGTTTACTGAAAAGAATGTATTGGTAAAATAGTCAGGCACAAAAATATCAGATTTAATTATGATCTGCAGCGATTTATGTGACATAGTTAATTCCACTCCTAAGAGACTTTGCACCTTTTTCTTTGATATGTTGTGATTCAATCAAGAGTTGGTTGAAGAACTCTTTATAAGGAATCTTTAAAAACGCTTACGGAACAGGAAAAATACTTCCGGAATGAAGGCTGCTAAAAAAGTTGGCAGCTGCCACTGCTGAGATCTATTATCCACATGAGAGCTGTTATACTGTACCATTCTGGTGACTCCATTCAACATTTACACAGATACACAGACATATGTGTGATATAAAGAATAGAAGATGAGGTGAGTGAAGCTGTGAGATCATGCTGGACACACACATGAATGCTAGGAACCTAGAGAGAGGTGAAGAAGAGTGTAAATGTTGGTCAGTATTAGGGATCTTGTGTGAACATGCCATGCAATGAATGCTCCAGACTTCCCACAGAAAACATGAAAAAAGAAGGGAACACGTTTCAGTCTAGAAAGAATCGAACAAACAAGATGAAGCGAAAAGAGAAGGAGCTCATAACGTCGTTACAAGCCAAACAAACGCAAAAGACAATCAGGCAGCCTCAGTGTACGGCATCTTTAGGAATCTTACCTTTAGATACACACAAGTGAAAGATTATGATCTGAAGGGGAAACAAAATAAACAAAAGAACAAATAACAAAAATTAAATGGGAATGAAAAAAAGAAAAGAAAAATGATCATTTGGGTTTAGAAGGTACCAGGAGCCCAACACAAAAGCCAGAATAAAAGCTTTGGGTTTGAAAAACAACTCGATTTGCATAAAATACAAAACTAAAGATCGTTTTTCAGCCCAAAAGCAAATTGTGTTGCAATGACTGAATTAAAACACAAATTAATTTGTGTGTATAGTCATGCATGTGAATGAAAGGCTTGAATAACGACTCTGTGTATTACATTCTCAGTGAGTGATTGGGGGAAATGATCAATGAATTCTCTTGAAATTATTCTCAGAAATTTCTTCCACAAAAAGGGCTTAAGGCTACTTCTGGACTGCCTTTGCTTCAAGTTCAGCTGCCATGTTCATTTTAATGTTAGCATTCCTGTAGCTAAAATAGTAGAGCATGATACTAGCAATGCCAAGGCCATGGCTTTGATTCGTAGAAAACGAAAGTTCATGTTCAAATATTTGAGGTCAGTAAGATTTTGTTTTGTAAGAAATTGTATTCAGCAAGGATGCATTAAATTGGTCAAAAGTAACTGTAAAGACATTTATCGAATCAAATAAATGCTGTTTTTTCACTTTCTATGCATCACGGTTTCTGCAACAATATTAAGCAGCACGACTGTTATCAACAGTGATAACTCCAGTTGGTGTTTGAAATGTAATAATATATCACAATTTTACTGTTTTTTTACTGCATTTTTGTCCAAATAAATGCAGACTTGGTGAGCATAACGGACTTCTTTCAAAAACCAAAAAATCTTAACGACACCAAACTTTTGAACGGTAGTGTTTTTGTATATCGAATGCAGTGTTGCTTCGGATAAAAGCATCTGCAAAATGCATGAAAATGTAAATGTAATGACTGGACAGAAATTACGTGTGCATGTGATTTTATAAGCCTGGAACTGAATGAAATTGTGAGTGAAGGTGAACAGTGAGTGGTGTAAAATGACAGATGAATTAAGAATCGATTCATTTAGTCAATGCCCACCTGCTTCAGAGGGAAGATGGTGGAAAGGTGCAGGGCAGAAAACACGAGCCGCGTAGTCCTCAAACGTTGTCGGTTCCAAGTGGTGCTGGACTATCGTCTCCAGATATCTCGCTCTCTCTTCGTAGCTGATAAACATATGAGTTAAAGTCAAACAAGATTGGTGCATCGATTTCATAAGCGACAAAAACATATCAATAGGGGTCAAACAGTTAGCCAGGATGCCATGGGTTAATAATTCTCCCATCATACTGTAAACCTTATTACGAAGCTGTCATTGCTTTACGTATGGTGACATTGGGTATCAATGGACATCTTACTGTCTGTGTTATTCGGTTAAGAAAAATGATGGTTTTGAGTAAATGGAAGGGATTGGATTATGTCGCTGTATGGGTTTAAAAACGGAGGGATTCTGTTAATGGGGACGATTTGATTAAGTAGACCGGTGGCATATGGTCTGTGCTGCATTCATAACTTAGTAAGCCAAGAGCACACGGTTCGGATCACGACGGATGCTGCGTCACTGGAGAAACTTGATGGAGGAGCGGCGAGAAACGGAGCGAGAAACTGAGGTCCTGCTGGGACGAGGCGGGGGGAAGATTCTCAGCTCTAGTTCTTTGAGTGTGTCTGCAGGTGAAGAGGAACACATAGGAAGTGTCTCCGTTAGGAAACTCAACACTCACGCAGATCTGTCGTTTGCCTTTTCCTGACTCCAGCAGACCTGTTTCCTGCCGACGGGTCCCGCTGTTTGAGAGCGAACCCTAGCGCGAGTGGGTGAGAGGTTCCCACAGAGGAGAAGAGAAAGCAGCTAGAGAAAGTGTCTGTGGGTGCGACGTAATTAGACACATGCTGTACTACAACCATAAGCAGAATATGACAGAGCCGTGACAGTCTTGACAGCCGTGTTAACAGCTTAGAATAGCATTCATATGGTGTCACTGACTAAAACATTCAGTCACGACTGCTACAAATGAATTCAAGACATCAGCTGTGGCCTCCCTGTTCTGCACTTCCAAATTATTAAAACTAAAAGTACCACTGTCTCATGAACCACTAACAGATAATTCAGCAGCCACAGACTAATTTATATTCTACAAAACTTGCCAGCCAAAATACATACACAAAATCCTATATACATAAGAAATTAATCAGACTTGAATATACAACATAAATGTAATAATATAACTACCATTCAAAAGATTCAAAAGTATGGGGTAAGTAATTTTTTTAAAAGAAATTACTACTTTTATTTAGCAAGGATGCATTAATTAAATTTTGAAGTAAAGACATTTATAATGTTACAAAAGATTTCTGTTCCAAATAACAGCTGCTTTATTTGAAATTTCTATTCATTAAAGAATCCTAAAAAATGTATCATGGTTTCCGTTATAAGCAGCACAACCGCTTACAAAATTGATAATAAAAATATTTTTTCTTGAGCACCAAATCAATTTAGAATGATTTCTGAAGGATCACGTGACGCTAAAGACTGGAGCAATGCCTCCTGAAAACTCAGGTTTGCCATCACAGCTTACATTGTTTAACATGTTTAAAAAGAAAATGGTTATTTTAAAGTGTAATAATATTTCACAATATTATTGTTCTTACTGTATTTTTGATTAAATAAATGCAGCCTTGGTGAGACTGAGATAAAAAAAAATCTACAGTAGAGTACATCTGCACAAAACAGAAGTTAAAATTTAGATGCCATTTAATGAATATGACGATGAAATATTTACATCTAAAATATATATTTTTAAAAAAGTACAAATATACAAAAAGTTTTAAAGCTGGAATTGGAAAGCTGCGGCTTTTTCTTCATTTTAGGTCACTAAAATGAAGAACCTGGTTTTAGACTAAAAAGTCTAAGAGTCTTGAGAGGTCTTGGTTTTGAATTGTCTGGTATTAGTCAAGATCTGGATCTTGGGGGTTTGTTACTGGTCTGGGTCTGACTGGGACTAGTCTTGACTACGACTCGTAGATGCCTCATGTCTAGAATAAGCTGCAAAGTGGACCAGCTTTTATGCCAATAGTCCGGCTACAACTGGGCAACCATTCCAACCAGCGAGAGCAGAGCGTGAGCAGCACCACTGTGCATCTTAATAGCCCTCTCAGAGCCGCCCAACATGTGGTCACCATCCTGAACCTGAGATGAGCCTCTAATGCCACACTGTCACCAAGACAACAAATCCTCTCCGCTGTTGACTTCAGATGCTCTTTGTGTGTCACAAAGAGAGAGGTAAAGGGAAAAACAGTTCTTCTTTTTCCCTTCTCTCTTTTTTGCACCATGTATTCACCCATATAACCCGGGCCTTGCATCCAGTGTAATTGAATTTTTGATGGGTGGTGTTTTTTTATGCCGGCTTGTTAAAAAGGAGAAAGTCCTTTTAAGAGAGTGCGTGCCGGGTTCTCGCACCCTCTCTAGCATCACATGCTAGAAGAGGAGAGGAGGATAAAAAAAAGAGCCTTTTGTGCATTACCAGAAACTCATTTTCCCTGTGGATGAAAGGCAGAAGGGGGGAAAAATACTCCTGGCCTCTTCCCCCCCCTCCTTCTGAGCTTTTCATTGTCACCACGCTGAACTCCTGGGCTCTGGAAGGAAAGAGAGAAATTGCCACTGAAGAGACAGCAAAAGTGAGCTTGTTAGCACATTAAAAGTGAAGGGCTCGTGGTGGGCTCCAGGAACAGTCCCTGGTGGTGTGTTAATTCAGCACTCCGAACATGCTGGTGCTGATAGCTTTCAAATTGATCACTCCTGCTACCCTCGATTTCATTCCCTCCCCCTCTCGAAGCCAGCGGCAGCGCTGGAGAACAGAAGCACGCCTCTGGAAAGGAGGAGAAGCTTTTCACGATGTCAAAGTAATGTCAGCCACCTTGACCCTGACAACTCCTCTATGACAACATGGTCTGGCGAACACTTTTAGGTAGACGACAATGACCTTTGAGAGACATCAGAACCGCTGGCATAACAAAACAATGACGATGGTGAAAATTTAAAGAATTAGCACCCTTTTAATTCATGATTGTGAATTTGAATTGAATTGGCCACACTCCACAGGAAGTTGGAATTGGAATATGAATTGGAATGACAGAAGAGGAATTTACTGACTGTAATTAACAGATAATTCTGGGAAATTAAGTTTCATTCCACCCTGGACCACAAAAATGTGATGAAATGTCAATAACAGTTTAATAAATTTGGGGTCAGTAGGATTTTTTCTTTTTCTCGCAGTTTGACAGATTTACAGATTTCTATTTCAAAATAAATGAAAAACAATTTCTATTGTTGAAAACAGTAGAATTTTTTTTCAGGTTTCTTTGATGAATAGAAAGTTCAGAAGAACAGCATTTATCTGAAATATAAATCTTTTGTAACATTATAAATGTCTTTATCATCATTTTTGATCAATTTAATTGATCTAAATAAAAGTATTAATTTCTCAAATTTCTTTCCCAAATTCTGATCTTTGGATCTTTCCATTCATCAAAGAAACCTGAAAAAATTTTACTCAACTGCTTTAAATTTTGATAATAATAATAATAATAATAAATGTTGAACAGCAAATCAGCATATCAGAATGATTTCTGAAGGATCATGTGACACTGAAGACTGGAGTAATGATGCTGAAAATTTAGCTTTGATCACAGGAATAAATTACATTTGACAATACATTCAAATAGAAAGCTGTTATTTTAAATAGTAAAAATATTTCACAATATTACTGCTTTTGCTGTATTTTGGATCAAATAAATGCAGGCTTGGTGAGCAGAAGAGAATTCTTTAAAAAACATTAAAAATCTTGCTGTTGAAAACTTTAGACTGGTAGTGTATATTAAGCAGCAAAACTATTTTCAACAATAATATAAGAGATGTTTCTTGAGCTACAAATCAGCATATTAGAATTATTTCTGAAGGATCATGTTACATTGAGGCTGGAGTAATGATGCTGAAAATTCAGCATTGCCATTACAGAAAAATTGAAATTGCATTTCAAAATATATTAAAATATAAATGAGTTATTTAAAATTGTAATAATTAATTTTTTTTCTGTATTTTCCAAAAATAAAAATAAAAATGCAGCCTTGTTAAGCATAAGAGACTTCAAAAACATTACAAAAAAATGTTACTGAACCCAAACTTTTCAACATTCAAAGTTTGTAAATCTGTTTTTCTATTTAAAAGTAAGTTACATGAACTTGAATTTCAATTCATTGTAATTCCACTTTCTTTACATTCAAATTTTTTTAATTTAAAGGGTTAGTTCACCCAAAAATGAAAATTAGCCCATAAATTACTCACCCTCAATGCATCCTAGGTGTATATGACTTTCTTCTTTCAGGCGAATCCAGTCGGAGTTATATAAAAAAATGTCTTTGATCTTTCAAGCTGTTTAATGCCACTCAGCAGGTGTTGCAGTACTTCAGTCCAAAAGAAGTGAAATAAAAAGCCCCCAGCCATAAAAAAAAAAAGTGTCTCACACGGCTCCGGGGGGTGAACAAAGGCCTCCTGTAGCGAATAGATGCATTTTTGTAAGAAAAATATCCATATTCAAAATGTAATAATCAATTTAATCTAGCTTGCCCTCACTGTTGTACACTGGAAGCAGCTCCGGGCGGATGACGTATTAGGTCAGAGCTGCGCATGCGCCGCTCAGAAGTGACGAACGCGGAAGCGCAGCAGAGAGATCAAAACAAAACAACGGTCACTAATTAGAAGTACAAAACGAGGATTTGTAAAGAATGTCAGAGGATTTCGATATAAGCCAAAAAGAGACTGGTTTTCCTTTGCTAAAGTAAGGAAACTTTGCTCCTGTTAACAAATGTTGGTTTTCACGAGACTCACTTTCACTACAACTGTTGGCGCAAGCTACATTAAAGTGATTATTACGTTTTGAATATGGATATTTTTCTTACAAAAATGCATCTATTCGCTACAGGAGGCCTTTGTTCACCCCCCAGAGCCGTGTGAGACATTTTTTTTAATGGATGGGCGCTTTTTATTTCACTTCTTTTGGACTGATGCATGCAACACCCACTGACTGGCATTGAACAGCTTGAAAGATCAAAGACAATTTTTATATAACTCCGACTGGATTCGTCTGAAAGAAGAAAGTCATATACACCTAGG